CCCAGCGCGCCGCCGCCACGCGCAGCCCCCGCGCCACGCGGCCGCCCAGCCACCGCATGCGGGGGTCCTGCGCCAGCAGCGCCGCCGCGTCCTCCTCCTCCTCCGGGCCCTCCATGGTGCCCGTGTTTGCTGGGAGGAGCTGCCGTTGCCTGGGGGACACCCGGGCCCAGCTCCTCCCCACGGGATGAGATGAGACTCGGCTCCCGCTTCCCTGGTTGTGGCACCGATCCAGGCCCGTAGCAACCCCCATGATTCAGGCCAGGCCGTAGCTGCAGCCTGGGCCTTGGGGCTCTCCCAGCTCCCTGACACCCTAAAACCATCTGCTCATTAGCAGCCAGGCTCATTAGTTAACCTTCAGGTTCATTAACCTGCACACTACCCCTGCACTCAGGGCACACACACGCCACTCAGCTCCACCAAGACACGCTGCTCCACAGCCAGCTTATAAGCTGCACCTCCATGTAGCTTTACGTGTTGTTTCCTCTAGTGTTTCTACACCTATTTTTATTAAACCTTGCACTGTTTTCTAATTTCTGCCATTATAAAAGCCCCTTCTTTGTTTTTATGGAAAGGAAGATACAGACTCTGTGCAGTCCATACCCATAGGGAGTAACCATGCCCTCCTCTAGGCACTTTGATAGGATCCTCTTTGCACTGGCACAATAGCAAGCACTTACCCACTCCTTATTCACCAGTCCCAGTTTCTTGCCATTCCTAAAAGTCAAGCAGGCTTTTTTCTTTTTTTTTTTTTCTTTTTTTTTTTTTAAGCAGTACCCTGCTGTGTCAATAACCCTACTGCCTCTTTAGACAAGCATAATATTAAAGCACAAGTTAATCTACAAAGGATGCTTTGGTACCAGTTTCCCTCTTCATTTTCTACTGCTTTTTACCCTGAAGTTTCAAGTCCTTAATATGTGCTGGTATCACTTCTGTGCAGTGCCTGGGGCCTCGTGCCTTTAGGCTGCATTTTTAAGATGAACTCCTTAATTGAAATCGAAGGCAAAGCTCCCCCACCTGCTTGCAAATGCATGTGCAGTTACAACACTGGTGAGAAAGGAAGCAATCCTACAGGGTGCTTTGAAAACACTAGTTTTAACTGTGTATCTTGCCTGAATCGGCCTTCTTAGCTCCTGTATCCAGTATTGGGAACAGCTTGAATAGCCATCAGCTTGCATTGTATGAGCAGCTTTAAGAGCAGCCTAAGCACAACAGTGCTCTACTCTGGAGCCATCCAGCAGCACCCAACTGGTTATCACGTTCGACTGACAGAAGTTGCCCTAGGGTAGCAGAGCGGGTACAAAACAGTCAGAATGGGCATCAGAATCCAGGACAAGGGCGAGATCTCTGTGCCTTAATCATGCACACAGAAACATCCAACAGGAACAATCAGTCATTTGTTTGCTCCCGACTAGATCCTAATTAGCAAGCTAGGTAAAACACACACCCTTAAGATGTTGACTGGTTTATTCAGATTCTGAAGAGGTTTTGGAAAACTAAGAAAATCAGAATAAAATGGGAACACAGCAGGATTAAGATCCTGATATTAATCTAAGGCTCTAAAGCCAATTAACTGGGTCCCACTTTATTGTGACATTTCTTCCTATAACCTGGGTTCTGATTACTTAGTTGCATTCTGCAGCTACCCAGAGATCTGCCCACATCATTCTGGAGAATCCACAACGCCACAAGGGCTTCTCAAGCCTGATCTTTTGAAACCTCAAAGGTCACAACCACCGCTGTTACATTATTAATAGTTTCCAGCATAAAAACAGAAATAAAACATTTCAGAAGGAGTCTTGGCTAAAAAAAATGGCATATGGACTAGCAAGATCCAAAACCAAGAACTGCAGGGGTAGATACTGTCGCCAGGAGGACTTGCACTGCTTACAGCATGCTTGGTAGATTCAGCCCATGGGGATCCACCAATGACCAAGCAAACCCAGACACCGAACTTCAAGGCCAGCCCTTTTCCACTGTGCTCGTGGGCAGTCCTTGGCACTGCACGCTCCCGAGGCCTGGAGAGACCAGGACATTTCATAGGGAATAGAGCATTCCTGACGTCGTTTCAGTTCACTGTTTTAAGCTTCTTGTTTGGTACTTCCTGGTGGTTCTTGGCATGTTTCCTTTTTTGGCTTGGTGTCTCTTCATTCTCACTATCAGTCAGTTTGTCCAAGATCAGAGAGGCCGCCTTCAGAAGGCGCAGCTCCCGTTTTTCCTTCCTCTCCTCCATTTCTACAATGTCATCTGCAAACAAAGCCTTCAGAGGTGGGATCAGCTTTGGGATGACTGGAAAGTCACCAAACCGCACCTGAAATACATTAAGCACAGAAGCACCTGCTTGAGAATTGCTTGTGTTTCCCCCCTCTCCTGTCTTGTGTCTTGCTCATTCAGATGGCAAGATACTGCCTCTTCCCCTGTGCTGCACCTACGCAGCCCAGCACAGCCCAAACCTCAGCAAAGGTTTACGAGGCATTTACAAGGTGCATTTGCACTCCCAGCAGTGCAGCAGCCAATTCACAGACCCCACAGGCTAAGCTATCTACCCTTCCTTGAAAAGAAAGTGTGGACACGATACCAGTTTTAACTGACTAGTGAGCAATCATCACTAGCACTGCTGTGCTCGATACACGCTACCAAGCACTACAGTGTTTGGCTCCTGGATATCTCACTACATTGCAGAAAACCATTAAAGGAGCACAGCAATTAAAGAAGGGAGTAAGAACAGAAGCAAAAATATCTTTTCAATTAGGAGTAAGGCGCAGAAAGCAGAAGTGACTTTGGGCAGGTAGCCAGCATGTTAAGAGTGAAATTCTGTTCTCAGGAGCCATCAGTGCCTGTCTAGGTGTTGAATTGCTCAGTCCTACCCATTCTCTTCCATGTTGATGTCTGCTGCCAGGAAAAAAAAAAAAAGAGCCGTTTCACAAAATCTGCTCTCAAGAGGAGGCAATGTACTGTTACAGCATTAAAAATGGAGAAGTTTATGCGCGTGCAGTCATACGCAGGCAGCACTGAAACCTTTCCACAGAGAATCCTGATCAAAGCTCCCAACTTACCCTCATATGATCAAACGCAATTCCAACTTTCTCACTGAAGTCTTCACTGAATAGTGGGATCTTGGCATATCTCTGACTGAAGTGGTTGAGCATGATGAACTCTGCATTCATCTTCATCCCCGTTTGAATTGCCTGAGAGGTTGTGCTGCAAAAGGAGGAACTTCACAACATGTACACCAGCAGCATTTGGGGACCAGGGCCTATTCAAATTATTGTCTCAGGGGTGCCAGCCAGTCTAACACACACTATAACTTGCATGTAATTCCAAAGAGCTGCTCTCAGGTCTGGCCAGTTTTACCAAGGGCAGCACTCAGTAACACTGGCTCGTGCTTGCTTTGAACTGTGCACTCAGCAATCAGGGGTGCCAACATAGCTACCTCCTGTGCTTAGTTCTGAAATGTAATCAGGCAGTGGGCTCTCCTCTAGGCTAGTCTACTTGCAGAGTTGCAACTGGCCATTTAACAGCTTTAAGTTTTCCCTTGGGCCCATTCAGAAGAGCTGTGTGTTACAGAGCTGGCTCAAGGAGCGGCACTGGGCACTCACCACCTGCTCCAAGAGCATCTCTGCCTCCCAGTGGTGAGAATGGCACAAAACCCCCTACCTGTGTGTTTTCTCTATGGCTTCTTTTTCCATGCCATCCTCCAGTGTCGCTTCATGGATCAGGAGCGTAGCATCTTTTCCTGTATAAACAATGACATATTCAGCCTTTGTGGTGGAGGACATAACATGGGGCAGATATACAAAACCCAAAAACCTTCTCTGCACCATGGAGACATGGGTGCTGCTATCTGCACATAAGCTAGAGACAGCAGTAGCATCAACTATAGCCTGGGCAAGTCTGCCTAAGTAAGTTCATGAACTCTATACCCATTCTCCCTATCCACTGTAGGAGCAATACCAAGGGTTCAGATGTACTTGTTTCACCTACTAAGAGTTGAAGGCTTTTTTGCAAAAGCATTCTTCAAACACCTACCCATTTTTACTAAGGCCATGCAGGGCATTGTATCTCCAGAATAGACTACTTTCCAGCCAGATTTGTGGACCATTGAACAAGCGAAAGCATTTTTACAGTGCTGGACTTCACAAGTCTGAAACTGAACAAGAACACAAGTGTTAGACCTCAAGTCCCCCCCATTTTGCCTCTTGCAGCACCTGTCTCTGCTTGTGAGCTTACCTCAGCCAAGTCATAGCTCTCCAAAAGAGAGCTGACAACCTTGGCTTTAGATGTGATGTTCTCACAGCCCTTCACGAGAGACTGAGAAGTAATCATTCTGTGAGAGAGGGGAAGAGAACAAACTAAGGACATGTACAAAAATGAAATGTGATCCTACCTGAAGCAGCCTGTTTCTCAGGGAATCCATGACCTAAATGGTCATTCATGGCTTCTCAGTTCACTGCTTTACAAAACTATTTGTGCATTCAGCTAGTCTTCCCCTTATTTTATCATCCAGTGCCCCAGTAACTCAGTCAACTACTGCTCCACTGTTAAATACTCTCTCCTCCAGGAAGTTTTCTCTACTTGCCTAAACTCTTTTTCCACGGAAGTCCTAAGTAGAGCAACTGAATAACAAACCCTATGCCCCCCTTTGCCAATTACACACCACAGGTCTAAACACAATGGAAAGAGTCTCAGCAGCCTTCAACTAAGAGCCAAGGGGAATGGGACAGCAGTTTGTCTTGAATACAGATCCACCAAGGCTATTTTCCCAACACACCACACAGAACTCACTTAATGTCTCCAAGAATTTCTTCACAGTGGTTGTGGTACTCATGTAGCCAAGGCATGATCTGTTCGGGTGCTACCAGAAACAGAGGGCTAAATACCCGACCAAGCGATGCCTGGAAAAGTGAAGATGGGAGAAATCAGTACTGGGGGTGCATTAAATCTGAGAGAGGGAATGCCTAGGGAAAATAAAATGGTGCTTCATGCTTCACCACTGCGTTCAGGAGAAGCCCCTCTCTTCTACTAGGCAAAATCAGAAGCAGTGAAACAATACTACTACTTACAAGAGCTCTTCGCCTCTGCATCAGGATGTTCAACAAGCCCTGTAAAGAGAGGAAAAAAAAAAAAACACTAGTAAGTGGTAATCAGATTTTTCCGAGCCAATAGCCACACTTTGCTGAGCTGCTGGGAGACTGTCTGGCCAGTGGCCAGAGCACCTCTCAGCCCTCCCCAGTGCTACTGCATCTGCTGCCAAAACAAGAGTGAAGAAAATCTTTATCCAGTTTCCCAGGTCGAATCTGATTCTCAGACATAAGAGAGCAGCCCATGACAGAGCCTGCCCTGATTAGGCCCAATTGGGCCTTCTGGGGCAACTTATTACAGGTGCTAATGGGGAGCCAGGCTGGACACTGCTGGAGAATGATGCCTCCAGATGATCCCGGAAAACCTGCAGGACCACCAGGAGGAAAGAAGGGTTTAGAAGCACAGTAGGGAATGCAGAGGGGAGCTGCAGCCCTAACAGCAGGACAGCTACATCTATTATATGCAGCTGTACCTAAATCCCAAACAACAGAGCAGGCCATGAACAGAGCCCCTTCTCCTTCCAACACACTCAGCTTACCGAGTGGTGATCAGTATGCATGTGAGAAACAAACACAGCTGCCAAGTTACACAGCACTTGGTCAACTTGCTCTCCATAGTGACGACAGAGCTGTCCAAAGGTTCCTTCCCCACAGTCCAAGAGCACGGATCGGGTAGAGCTGGCAAGACAAAACAAAGATGTTTGGTGGCATCTGGAGGAGCCCTGACCCAGGTGCATTCAGGCAGAGGGACACCCTGGGTTGGCAGAAGAGGGCAGAGAGCAGTCAGTGCTCTACCTCTAACACCACTCCAGTCCTACTAGCTGAGGCTTTAGAGAGACTGTTGTCTGCATTGCCCATTCTGGTCTTGTCTTGATGCTGAATGCACCCTTGGCACAGACAGTAAAAATCAATGAAGACATTAAATGTTTGTTTTCTACAACAAGTTCTCAAGTTTTTCCCACCTATAAAGAGATGGGTATCTGAAACTGAAGCCCTACGGACTCCAAGACAGGGGCATTCTCACTGTATCATCACCACAATAGTTAAAACAGGCCTTGATCCAGACCCTCTTAAGATACTCGGCCTCCTTGAGGAGAATACACAGCATGTTAGGATTTACCTAGTATTTACCAGTGTGGAACTGACATTTCGGATTTTCATTGGAATTGCAGAACCTGTTCCCAAGAACACAATTTCTGGATAAGCATCCATATTTTCTAGAGAAAGTGGAAAACAACAGTTCGTAAGGAAAACGCTACCTTCACACTGCCCATCCAGACACTTCAGTTCAATAGCCTGGCACTTTCAAAGACTACACTTCTGGCACATCTATTACTGCTTTCCTCAACCTCTGGCTTTCCCAGAGCAGCAAGATTCGTGAAGAGAAGATAGAAGATTCTTGCTGCAGCTGCTAAAAGAGCATTCAGCACAGCAGGGCTCTGCTCACCACATAAGCAGCATACAGGGACAGCTGAGGCATAAAGCACCCAACAGTGCTCAGCCCCCAGTCTCAGTAGCTTTGAAAAACCAGCAGCACAGAACTACTTAGCTTCAATTGAAGGGAGCCATCCTACTCTAGGGGTAGCCCCTTATCCACACAGCTCCAAGAGAAGTTAGGAGCACCTCTGAGGCAGCAGAACGATTTCACATTTGCAGCTTTTCCTGAGTTCTAGAGTACTCAGTCATCAAGATTTCCTATTTTCCATTAACCCCAAACCAGGACAAGTTGCTAATCTTTACCTGGGACAGCAGGCAGGCTCTCTTTGCACTCCTTCACACGATCCTGGAAGTCAGGGAGATCTAGGGCTTCACTTACAAATGCATCATGATCACAGACAGTCACAGCATCCCTGGAAGAACACACCACACATCACAGGATGGGGTAGAAACTAAACAGACAGCATCTTTCAGGGTGAAGTGCCAAATCACAACTAAATAGCCTTACAACAAAAGATCAAATGCTCCTTCCTAGCTCTGTTTTGAGGGTTGGGGGATATATCCATGCCTGTGGCGTTGTGCAGAACAACCTGGCCAAATGGTGCCACAGAACAATAGTGCTGACTCCACCAAAACAGTGGAGCAAAGACAGCTCCTGGAAATCACTATTATTCAGCAGCGCTGACCTGATCAGAGCATCTGGACACCAGAGGGCACTGCAAGGCCCTGTGAGGGAAGCAACAAGACTCCTGAAAGAGAAACAGCACCAGGAGTTCCAGGCATCACACCAACCAGTGTCCTGCCTCCTGGTCCTGCTTCAGAGCATGTGCCTCTAGACACCTCCACAGGCCTCCAGATACCACTAAGAGAGAAACTCTGACTCTTGGCATCTCAGTTCTCCTATTCTGGCTGAGATCCAAAAATCAAGCCAACTCTCAAAGCTGAGAAGCCAAAAACATTCCCCACTGACCTCTGCCACTCCTGCTTGGGTCTCAAGTGGTACTTCAGGAGGCATTCTCCTCGGACAACAGGCACACTACAGGCAGCAGCCTCTTCCTACAGAGGAAGGAATGATGTTATACAGGCCTTCATATGCACCATGTCTATATATGCACTCAACTCAGGAGTGTGAGGTGCACAGGCAAGCAGGCCCTCCTGTACCTTGCTCTGGTAGCTGGTGAGCAGAGGGAAGATCTCTGGGTGGATAAGGTTCAGCTGGGTTTGGATCTTGTAGCTACGTGGGTTATGCACCGCAGCAGAGTTTTCATTGAGTACCAAGTGCTGAGTTCCATGTCCAAATCTAGGAGAGGAAGAGAAAGTTTAACAGTTTCAGTCCCACATTAGGATCAAGTACATGTTCACAACGAAGGCCATAAATACCCTTTGAATCAGATCCCTGCTATCCCCAACAGCTATTCCTGTTCTGGAAAAAGCCTTCCTACACCAGGAACAATCAGCTGCTCAGCAAAGACAGAATCAAGTATCAGAGGAGCACGTACCTTTCCAGCCACTGCTGGTAGCGGCTGTCCCGAAGCACTGACTCTGGAGTCATGTGAATGACTAAGGCTACCTGGTTTTCAGGAAGTCCTTCCTGGTACCTAGAAGAATATTCAAATACGGTGAGAAAAACATAAGCTTTGGTCCTTTATCACCCTGGCATTCCCCTCCCACCCTTAAGTGCCAGCACCAAGGGATTCACTTCTGGCAGAAGCACACAGGGCACAACACAGACGTGCCAAGCTTCACCTCGGAGTGGACCTGGAGTCGCATGAGGCTCAAGCCAGCTATTTCTTGCCACCTCCACTCTCCCACCTGGAGCTGCTCCTCTCCAAGACCACCAACATGTTCAGAGCCTCTCAGAAGCCTAACACGTGTCTGTATGAGCCCTGCAGAGACGCTTCATGTATTCTAGACATCTAGGTTCACCATACAAGGGTACTGCAGTCCCTCTGGGACTCCTCAGCAATACATCCTACTGCACCTTATCTTCCCTGAAGGCTCCAAGACAGGCCTGACACGGTTACAGACCATCCCAGGCCCTGCACAGCCCTTCCTTTCTTAAAAAAAAGTTCCCAAAGGCACCACTTTTTTGCATAACTAGCTTCTTACCAGTGCCACATAGCTCAAACTTCAGCCATGGAAATGGACACATCTCAACTAGGACAAGAATTTCCCATTGGTGAAGCTTCACATCCCCCAGCCCTTCCCCATCAGCCAGCTCCCTACCTTCGGAAGGTTTCATTTTCACAGACAGCATCCACAAAGCCCTCGTGGGGACACTCCAGGACAATGAACACTGGGCCAGGATCGGTAGGGGTACATAGTTCTTCAGGCAAGAGCTGCAGACAGATGCACAAGAGTCACCCACGTTCAGACCACACAGGGAGTCCTTCTTCCAACTTTACATCAGACTCAGTAGCTGTTCTGTCAGCAAACCCCCCGCAGGCTGCTGGGACTTGCAGAACCAGCTCAGAGCAGGCCCGTTTGATGCTTGGCAAATCCAACTAGGGCAGTTCCCGTTCCCATTCTGCCCTCCCATGACACAAGTTTGCATTTTGCTGTGTCACTAGAGCCAGCAAATCCCAAACCTGGCATGAACATAGAACCAAGTGACAATTTGCTACCAGGAAATGAATTTAATCAGCTTCTCGGTTCCCACAGCAGACTTGCACATCAGTAACAGCTTGTTTGAGAAGAGCAGCTCTGTGAAAGACTCATGGCACAGAGATAAGTCAGTCCTGTTTCTCAGGTTAGGATTTTCACTTAAGGACAGGACTGGGAATGGCCAGGACTGGCTGTACCTTTAGCCTTAGTCTAGAGTCTGAGATTAGGGCTTGTTTCTCCTTCACAATAACTTCCTCATACTTGATGTAAGTCATGCAACAAAGTAAGGAAGGAGCAACAGCTACACAAGCAACCAGACTCCAAATCTAAAGCATACAGGAACCACCTCTACTAATTCCTTCCTAAATCTGAATTAGTTTGGGGGGCTTGGCAAGGGGAGAGGAGAAGCACAGACAAATTGCAGACATATATGGCTATTAGCACACATCAGCTCATTCCAGAGTGTAGTTCCCTAACCATCCTCTGCAACAGTCCCAGGCAGATGACACCCCATAGGAGCCACTTTCAGTAGCAGCCTGGGTCATAGTATCCACAGCATTCTGCACAAGACAGTTTCTATCCTTCCCTGGGCCCCCATGTTGATGCAAACCCACAGCAGAAGACACAGATAGATCTTACCTCTCTGCCTTCAAAAGTGATGCTCTCCCCATTTTTTAGAGCTGTGATTATGGGTTGAATAGCTGGAGTTCCCCTGAAAGTGAAGTCATTGAAATATTTAGCCTAACGATATCGACACTACTGGAGCTCTCTCATTCCCCAGACTGGTCCCCTGTACTTACACTGGCAGGCCTAGCTCCTGTGCTTTAGTTACTAAGAATTTTCCTTTCTTTGGGTGAATCTGAAATAAATAATCAAGCAGACAAAAAGCCTCAAGCATCTTCAGCAAATCCATACACTGCACTGAAAGCTCAGGGAGTTTTTTCCCCCTCCCTTCAATATCACATGTTGTGTACACCAAGTCCTCCCCAGTATTTAATCGACCTAGAGAATCTCTGGATATACACACAATCATAGAGGGTACACAGTAAATCTTCAACACCCACTGTTCTTCTAGACAAGGAGGGCAAACTAATTTTCCACTATTTTCTGCTTTTTCTACCATCCAACAGCCACTAGTCAACTTAACTAGCAAAAGTTTTCAACAGTCCCTTTGGTTTCTCAAATCACACTGCTCCTTTCTTTAACCAAGTAACACAGACTTTTCTAGTAGCAGCAAGCATTAATGGAACCTGTCTCTTCTTAACTGGCTAGCTCAAAAAGAGCATTTTCTAGAAGTGTCTTTAGTCCCTACAGGTTCCTATTCCTATTTCATTTTCTCTGACCTTTACAGGTAAAAACAGTATGAAGTTCTGCTTGAAAATGCTATCTCCAGTGTATTCAACATGACAAAATTGATCTAGAGACCACTGTGGCCAATCTTACTTTACAAAGGAAAGCCATCACCATGTCAGGATGCTTGCCACCACTCTTCTCTTTGTCACCTGTAAAAGCAAGCAAGATTACTTGGGATCATCACAGATTCACTTCCTGAAGGCCAAAGTGTTTCAACACTTGCTAAAGTATTTACAGAAACAGCAGCACCCCTATCATGCAGCCAACTCAGAGCCCAGCAGCAAAATATTCCAAGAACCTAAGGCTAAAGAGCCCAGAGTTTCGGTTATAAGAAAATGTAATTAAAGCCCAAGACTGAAAAATAAATCAACTTCAATGTCTACGTGCAAATAAACTGTGAAAAGGTACACAGACTAAACCACACCACAAGCAGAAATCATGTCCTGTTCTAGGCTGTATTACAATTCTGCATCAGCTTCCAAACTACCAGGGCCTGTTCTGTCCCACATAAATCCTTTAGCTTGAGACTATCTCACTTCCACAGTGAAAGCTTGAACAACAACATACATGCTTTAATTTTAATGTAACCAAAGAACAACATTGTTTTTTTTGTTTTGTTTTGTTTTTTTCACATGCTTTTCTGGGGGTTTCTTTTTCCTTGCCCTCCTTTGGACTTCGTTGTGCAGCTTTTGGGGAGCCAGGCCCTGGACCATCTTTTGGGGAGCCAGGCCCTGGACCATCTTTTGGGCTATCTCCACCTTGGGCTGACATTCCAGGACTCCGAGGCAACATGGTTTCAGCAGCTAGTGGCTTTCCTGTCCCAAATCCAAGAAAACCAAACAAACTCACTCACACAGAGATATAAGAAGCACTAGAGCATCCCTTCTTCCACAACAGTCATGTTTAAACTGCCCCAGAACAAAGGATGCTTCTCCCAGTCCAACTTGCATATTATCCACCTCCTGTCCTTCAGGTTAGCCCTTGAGATTCTCTCTAAATAGCTGGACTGCCAGGAGTATGTCAGTACCCCAGGTTTTGTGGTTTTCAGGAGTGAGAAAACTTGAGCAGCTAAAAAAGACCCATTCTTCATATTATTCTAAATACCCACATCAAAGGGAAAAAACTAAGGCCCTGGCTCAGCACATCTTGTTTCTTTGAATGAGACTCATCTGCTGAGAACAAACACGTAAACTCATAAACCTCTCCCTCCTCGGACTTGCAAACAGAAGCCACTCCAACAACCACCTTAAACCACGATTTTTAAATACAGGCTTTCCCTCTCTGACTCCAGCTGCACACACTCACCTATTAGAGGTATTTGGTGGACTGTCATAGTCTCATCCTTATACTCGGGCTCTGTGTGCAACTGTACAGCTTGAAAGAGAGAATAAAAGTAGACATTAACAAGGTAATAAGAAGAGATTCAAACTCTAGCAGAAATCAAGAAGTCAGAAGACGTTTTTCCTCCCTCAAAGAAAAACTGCTGGCGACACTCATAACTGAAAGGAATAAATGAAGCTCTTAAGTCCACCATCCATAACACACACCCCATAAATCAATGAGGAGTTTCATTGGAAGTTCATACAGGAAATTTTGCTTTTCAAGATGAATTCTGCTTACTAGTCAGTCAGACTGACAGCTACCTCCCAGAAATAGCACTAAAAACACTGTTTTGATTTTTTTTTCTTGCAGGAAGTTCTTGCAATGGATTCGAACATCAAATGGGATTGAAACACAACTCCTCAAAACTCTCTTCAAAAGGATCTAAACCAGAGCCTTTCTTTTTGAAATGACTTCAGCTCAACCCAATTTTATTGCAAGCTCATATTTACTTATAAATCGCTGATGTACATACCTAAGTCCATCCTCTTCAAAGGTCCAGGAAATAGCCGAATGGCTTTCAAGTAGCTTTGCTAGAAAAGACACAGTGTTTTGGGAAGTCACCCTGCAAAGCAGTGTGAAATGCAAGCATCGCTTTCAAAGGTGAAGTTACAACTTTCTTCCAGTAAAGCACCACCAAATATTGAACTCTCAGCCAAGGGAAGTTTGGACACTACGCAGCTAGAAAGCACCTGGGCTGGTGTCTCGTATACATCACTCACTATCCATTTGCAAATAGAACAGAAAAATGAAGGTGGAAAATTCACCTCCCAGCCACACTAAGGCCTCCTCTTGTTTGAGGGTAAATACCCAGCAGATACCACAACATAATAAAGCAATTTTGAGGATGGGGAGCTCTTCACCTAGCCATGGCATTAGGCCGACAAGAACCGCCTTGAGTAGAAAATCAGTTACCACATTTCTATTAAAAAAATTTGTGCAGAGGGAAAGCAGAGAGGAGAAAAATTCTGTCCTTCTTTGTAGAAAATGATTTTCTAGGAATTTAGCTGACAAGACAGTTTCAAAGAGAAGTGTGACACTGCTCTTTGTAATTGAATAGACTTACTTTGTAAAGCCAGCACTTCAGGCAGAACCAAACAGGACAGCACTAACTCAAACCAGCACCTTAGACCTGTGAGATGATTCACCATCTTGACACTAGCTCCCCAAGTGCAGGGTAAGCTTTGATGTGTGAAAGGTTCCCTCCAGCTTCGGCAAGCTCCCACTACTTACCAGCTTTGGGGGCCCTAAGAAAACACATCTTTGAAGCCCGATGGCCTTTAATGTGAGAATCATGCCTAAAACAAAGCAAAGCAGAGAAACAGCTTTATCACAGTCCAACAGGCCTTTGGTGGCTCAGGCAAGAAAGATCCCTCCCTCTGCCAAGGGGCGACTCGCCTCTCTGTGGAGATCAGACCTGAGCTCAGATCCAAATTCAGACTTGCCTTGGCTTTGTGGCAGTTTCAACAAGCCATTTTTCTCCAAGTATCTTCATAGTCAGAGCTGGCAACTAGCTGCCCAGTCTCTTTTCCATCTTCTTTCTTGGTGTGAGCACAAAGGTCGCCCAGGCACCTCTGAAGGTCCTTTCCCACTGCATTATCCTGACCCATAACAGGCTCCAAAGTGGGAACAGCGCTGCTGCTGCTGCTCCGGAGCACGCAGCAACGACAAGGCCACGTGCAGTGGTGAGGCAGCACCTCTCCACCACCCCGCGTGCTGCGGGGGACACTGCAGCACAGCCCCAAGCTCTGCGGAGCCCCACGCGCCGCCCCGCCGGGCTGCTCCTCTCTGCTTCTCCACATAAGTGCCCCAAGTGGCCCCTCCAGCCCGACTGCTCTGATGAGCGGGACTGACCCAGTGGCCCCGGGGCTCCCGGGCAGCCCCCCGCTCACCTGGCAGCCCTCCGACGTTGGGCCAGGCCACGCGGCTGAGGAAGATGCTGTCCAAGTGCGAGATCTTCAGCCTGAGGAGGAAGAGGGGGCAGTAGCGCGGGACGAAGCGGGTCCCGGGGCGGGGGGGCGGCCCCGGCACCCCGCACTCACTTGTGCTCCTGCATGGCCCGCTGGGTGCCCTCGCCGCAGTTGAAGAGGTACCTGCGGGAAACGGAGGGTGAGGCCAGGCCCGCAGGGGCCGCCCCGGCGCGTCGGCCCGGCGCTCACCGGTTGAACTCGGAGAACACGTAGACGGCGGC